CATGAGGGGCCCGGCGGTGGACCTGCAAGGCCGGCAGGAGTGCAAGGAAGCCCCGCGAAGGCCCTCCCTGGCCCCAGGCAGGCAGGGGTGGGGAGAGGCAGGGAGGAAGCAACTTACCCTCTCTCTTCTCCTGCCTCCTCCTGGCTGAATGAGGGCCGGAAGTGGGGCGGCCAGAAGCAGGGGGCGGGGCTTCGTCACGTGCCCCGCCCCCCGTACCTCACCCGGGGGAACTGTGTTCCCCCGCCGAAATGACCTCTGCAGGTAATTGCAACTCTGTTTTCATCTTCTGTCTTCTTGTGCAGCCTCACAGGGGACCATTAGTGAGCTACTCACCAAGGAGAAGGGGTGGGTCTCGTGCTGGAATAGAACCTGCAAAATAGCCTTACCCACATTTTCTTCTTTTTTCACTTGTAGATTAATAGCCTAATGCTTCACAAAAGTGTCCTCTGCCGACCATGTTGCTGCCTTGTAGATGTCCAGGAGAGGCACTCGTTGATGGAATACAGCTGATGACCCTTGCACTTGCATGGAATGTACCTTGACATCAAGAGGACACGGTTCTTCTCCAGCTACCTTGTAGCAGGAACTAATGGCAGTTGCTACCCATCTATACTGACACAGCTTTCCCCTTTTTGCGACCCCAGTAACAAATAAATGATGCTTTGTCTTTACAAAAAGGCCTGGTTCTTTTTAAATAATATATGAGAGCACTTTTAAGAAAAACTAAACTAAAAGAAAGAAAATCTAGACTAGGGTGTAGAACTACCCATTCATTAAATACAGTATCTTTAGGAACAGTGGGTCAATTCTAAGGGCCGCCAGTTTACTGACCCTCCTGGCTAAGGTAATCGGTACAAAAAATGCTACCTTTCTAGTGAGCATAGATAAACAGGAAGAAGCTTCATCAGGTCCCACATAATATTCTTGTTGACCAGTAGGTAAAATGTGGTTTGGATCCTATTACTGTTAGGTGGATCTGAAGCTGGTTGACAGATCGCATCCAAAGAGTGCTTGTGAAGGGTTCCTCATCTTCTTGGAGAGGAGTGACAAGTGGAGTGCCTCAAGGGTCTGTCCTGGGACTGTTTTATTCAACATCTTTACAAATGATTTGGATGAAGGAATAGTGGAAATGCTTATGAAATTTGCAGATGATACTAAATTGGGAGGGGTAGCAAATACGGTAGGAGACAGAGTCAGGATACAGGATGATCCTGACAGTCTGGAAAACTGGGCTAAAACAAAATGAATTTTAATGGGGATAAATGTAAAGTTCTGCATTTAGGTAGGAAAAATCAAATGCATAATTATACGATGGGGGAGACTTATCTTGGCAAAGTATGTGCAAATAGGATCTAGGGGTCTTAGTAGACCATTTGCTGAAAACGAGTCCGCAATGTGATTGTTTTTTGTTTTGTTATTCAGTCACACAGTCGAGTCCGACTCTTCACAACCCCATGGACCACATCATCACGCCAGGCCCTCCTGTCTTTTAGCCTTTTGTTAGTGTCCATGCAATTTTCGACTATGTCAACAGAAGTACAGTGTCCAGATCACGCGAACTGATGGCATCGCTTTACTCTACTCTGGTTAGACTTCACCTCCTGGAGTATTGTGTTCAGTTTTGGGCACCACAATTTAAGAAGGATATAGATAAGCTACAACGTGTCCAGAGGAGGGCAATGAAGATAGTGAGGAGTCTCGCCAGCTCTGGGTCGGGAAATCACTGGAGATTTGGGGTTGGAGCGGAAGGACCTCAGAGAGCTATAATGCCATTGGGCCTCCCGTTATCCAACTCAAGAGGCAGCGCTGTGAGCCGGGATGGCCCAGTTCCAGCAGCTACGGACTGACTGGGGATGGAGGCCTTTAGGACAAACAAGAGTGGGCCCGCAACAAAATGTTGCTTTTCTCTCCCCCCCTCCCCTCCTCTCCGTT